GGGGGCGCCCTCCCGCGCGCACCTGGGAGGCGGGCCCGCTCGGGGCGGAACAGGTCGACGAGGCCCATGTCCTGCAGCTGCTCGCGCAGGCTGAAGCCGTCCTCGAGGCGGAAGCGGGGCACGTGGGCCACCAGCAGCGTCTCCTGCAGCGCGTCCAGCCACTCCTGCAGCCCCTCCGGCGCCAGCTCGCGCTCCAGCCTGGCCAGGCTCCGCTCCGGCCTGGGCAGGACGAGCACCATGGTGATGTCGTCGCCCTTGAAGGGCAGCTCGAGCACCTGGGTGCCCTCGGCCACGCGCCGGTAGCGGAACTTGCCCTCCTGGTACATCATGGACGCCGTGCACTGCGCGCCGTCCGCCTTGTGGAACGGCTCCTCCCGCGTGTTCTCGGGGCTGAACTTGGACTTCCACAGGCCCTGGAGGAAGACGCCCGTCGGGCAGGCAGAGAACAAGAACGGAGTCGTGCACAGAATGCTCGTTGGCACAAGACGCGTTTGCACGGCACGATGACCGTAATACATGGGTACCAGGAAAAAAGACTGGAGGCGTTTGCAGGGAAGGGCTCATAAAGACTGCATCCAGAGTGATGGCATTGAGAGTGGGTTTTATTTTTCTGTGTGCTTTTTCAGTTTTCAGGTTTTCAGGGATAACTACTTGTTGTTTTATTTGTTTGTCGGCGACAGGGTCTTACTCTGCCACCCAGGTTAGAGTGCAGTGGCATGGTCATAGCTCACTGCAGCCTCAAACTCCTGGGCTCATGCAATTCTCCTGCCTCAGCCTCCCAAGTACATGAAACTACAGGTGTGCACCACCATGCCCAGCTAATTTCTAAATTTTTTGTGGAGAGATGGGGTCTTGCTATGTTGCCCAGCCTGGTCTTCAGCTCCTGGTCTCAAGTGATCCTCCTACCTTGACCTCTCAAAGTGCTGGGATTACAGGAGTGAGCCATTGCTCCCAGCTGACTATTAGCTTTTATAATAAGAAAGATAAAAGTTAAAACCAAGAGCAACCTGCAAGCCTCCTCTTGAATTTCAATCTAGTTTGCCTTTTGCTGTCTGCCTCCCACCAGACTTTTCCAAGGGCCAGCCTCCGAAGTTCTGGGCTCTGCCCCTGGGGAATCAAAGCCAGACTCAGATACAGTCCCAGAGGCTCCTCAGAAGCCCTGCCAGGCAGAGGATGAGGAGTGCTGACTGACTTCCTGCTCAGAGTGGGAGGATCCCTGAGAGATAAAACATGCTTTTGAAAATTACCGCTGCTTATCACTTTCTGGCTCTTTGATTTTGGGAAAAGCCATTTGTCTCTTCTGACTGGCGGTTTCTCGTTTGTAAACTCAAGAGCTGGTGATAGCCAATATTTATAGAGTACTTACGGTGTGCCAGGCACCACTCTAAGCACTATGTATGCATTCTCAATCCCTTCAGTAACCCTGTGAGGTAGATGTGTCATTATTACCATACTATATATGCAGAAGTGGGGTCATAGAAAGGTCTTGGTAACTCACTCGAGCTCACACAGTCATAAATGGAAGAGTCACAGTTTAAAACTAAGTGATCTGTCCAAGTGGCTCAAGGTCCCGTTTGTGATGTGAAGATCAAGAGGGCTAATAAATGACAAGTTGTTCTGCAGACTGTGAAGGGCCATGCACGTTTGGAAGCACAGTCGACTCTATTCTTGGGGAGAGGGAAGCCAAGAGACAGAGTGACTGGCAACAGCAGTGACTGGCCAGCCCCCTGGGCCATGTGGGAGGGAATGATGAATCTGGAGCATGCCCCTGGAAGGGCAAAACGAGCCCCCCTGCCTTGGGCTGCTGGCCCCCTGTGTGCCAGTGCTCTGGTCTACTCCCACCCCCTTCTTCCTTCTCCTTCCCAGGTGTGATCAAGGTGGAGCAAGGTCTAGGACTCTCCTTCCTGAGGAAGACCAGGCCACCTGCTTGGGACAATAGCTGAACCTCTGAGGTGAGCCCAGCACCTGGAGGTTTTGGAGCTTTGGGAAAAGTGAAGTTTGAGTCACTATAGAAGATGCTCCAGGTGATGGGGAAAATCTTGGCACTGAGGATTGCCAACAGACTTGGTCATTGTGTCCCAGAGTTCCAAATGAAGCTCCTGGGCAGCAGAAGTGGTCACGCATACATGAGAGCTCATCACCGGGCACACCTTGCAGCTGAGTTGGCAGGTCTGTGTGTGCGCACACTCCGCCCAAGCCTGGGTCGCTACCAGCTCCTGGGCCTCAGCCCAGCAGCCACAGCCCGCAAGGTTCTGGGGTCGCAACAGATATGTGCCCAGATCAGGCATGGACCGTTTCTCGGAAAGTCTCTACCGACACCAGCCCAGTGGTATGAACGAGGGCAGGCTGAAGAGCAAGAGGAAGCTTCTCGGTCTGTCGGGGGCCATCTGCGTACCTTGAAGTAAATGGTGTTAACCAGCACCAGAACGGTGAGCTCGTTGATGGCGTCCACAGGAATGACGTCTGTGATACGGCCTTCGGTCTTATTGGAAACCCATTTGTTGATTGTCACTCTGGACTGCTCTGCATTTCCCTGAGGAGAATGGGAAACAAACCTACTACCTGTGTTTTTCCACTGGCTTCTTGGTTCTCCTATACCGCTTTTTATATTGCTCATATCCCTCTGTCTTTTCCCCCATCTGATTAAGAAGCCATCACTCTCACCCTAAGAAACCTCATATAACGAATACAGTGCCATATATTTGAATCGGGTTCTCCTTCTGTCACCCAGGCTGAAGAGCAGTGGCATGATCTGCCTCTACCTCCTGGGCTCAGGTGAGCCACCTGTCTCAGCCTCCCCAGTAGCTGGGACTACAGGCATGTACCCACCATACTCGACTAATTTTTTAATTTTTTTGTGGAGACAAAGGCTATGTTGCCCAGGCTATGCTCAAACTCCTGGGCTCAAGCAATCCTCTCACCTCAGCCCCCTGAGTAGCTGGGGCTGCAGGCGTGCACACCATGCCTGGCTGTAGTTAAAAAATATTATCAGAAGAAAAAGAAATAACAAAAAGAGAAATAAGAAGAAATAAAAGAAATGAAGAGAATAAAGGAGAAAATCATCTAGATAAGATAAAACGTTATGTTCTGTGACCTTGGAAACCCCGAACTCACACAAATAGTTTCCAGGACATGTTCTATAGAATGCAATGAGTGAGCCGGTCTCGGTGGCTCAGTCTGTAATCCTGCACTTTGGGAGGCTGAGGTGAGTGGATTGCCTGAGCCCGTGGATTCGAGACCCACCTGGGCAGCAAGACTTCATCTCTACAATAAATCAAAAAAAAAAAAAAATTAACCTTGTGTGGTAGCACATGCCTGTAATTCTGGCTACTTGGAAGGCTGAGGAAGCGGCCACTGCACTCCAGTCTGGGCGACAGAGTGAGACTCCGACTCAAAAAAAAAAAAAAGAATGCAATGAGTGATGGTGGGTGGGCAAGTTAGGAGGGTCAGATAAGTCTGAGAAATGCTGACTGAATACAGCCAATGGGTTTCTTTGTAGACAGGACTTATTTTTTTCTTGAGTCAGAGTCTCTGTCACCCAGGCTGCAGTGCGGTGGCACGCTCACAGCCACCACAGCCTCGACCTGCTGGGTTCAGGTGATCCTTCTGTCTCAGCCTTCCAAGTAGCTGGAACCACAGGAATGTGCCACCATGCCCGGCTGATTTTTATTTTATTTTACTGTAGAAATGAGGTCTCGCTAAGTTGCCCAGTCTGGTCTTGAACCCCTGAGCTCAGGCAGTTCCCTTGCCTTGGCCTCCCAAAGTGCTGGGATTACAGGCGTGAGCCACCACGCCTAGCTTGACAGGACTTCTCAGAACACTTCACAGGCTCATATGCTTCATGAATCTCCAAGAGGAGAATATAATATGTATCATATACCTTTTTTTATTTTTGAGACTGGATCTTGCTTTGTTGCGAAGGCTGGTCTTGAACTCCTAGCCTCAAGCAATCCTTCCACCTCGACCTCATGAGCACATTTTATCTGACTATGGTAACTGTTTAAATTAAATAAGATCTCTCACAGGAATGGCATCTTCAGCATACTGTTTGGTATGTATTTGAAGCTGGTGGATGAAAGGAAGAATTGGTTGTTTATACAATTTTTTCAGAGTAGCCATGATAATTTAAGCTACAGATGCCATCGATTTCTCAGATTTCAAGTAAGAATAAATATTTCAGACGTTCTGACTTGTGGCCAGCCCTCTACCAGTCTTCAGCAAGCCTACAGTGTGCATTTGGACCCTGTTTCTCCACCTCCTCGATCTCCAAGGGGAGCGGGAGATGCTGAGACCAGGGATAATGGTATCTGCAACTCACCTTGAAATCCAACGGCTGGAGCTTGGCTCCATACACCAACTCACTGATGTCCTGGTAGGTCTCATTGAAGGTAAGGGATTTATCTCCAAAAAGGCGGTTGGCCGCTACCAACTTGGAGGATTTGTTGGCTTTTCGATAGAGGCGGCAGTTCAGTTTGGCAAAGAAGAAGTGGATCTGATCAGATGTCTTCTCGGATATGGTGTCAAACTTAAATACCTACAGAAGCCAAAAGAATTAGGTGGTGGGTCGCGGGGGTGGCCCAGCTAACACAGGCGGTGAGCACAGTACCAGCAGCCTGTGGCATCAACCACCAACGCTGTGAGCGCCTTCAACCATAGAGTCTCAGAAGTGCTCAACTCACATTTTTTTTTTTTGAGTCGGAGACTCACTCTGTGCCCAGGCTGGAGTGCAGTGGCATGCTCACGGCTACCAGAGCCTTGACCTTCTGGGCTCAGGCAGTCATTGTGCCTCAGCCTTCCAAGTAGCTGGAACTACAGGCGCGTACTACCACACCTGGCTTTTTAAAAATTTATTGTAGAGACGAGGTTTCACCAAGTTGCCCAGGCTGGCCTCAAACCCCTGAGCTCAGGCAAGCCACTTGCCTTGGCCTCCCAAAATGCTGGGATTACAGGCTTGAGCCATTGCGCCTGGCCCAACTTGCAATTTTTAAATGAATACATGAATAAAAGAAGAATAAGGGTAGGAAAGATAAAGAGAAAAAGAAAAGCAGAGGCTGTGGTGCCACCCGAGGTCTCTGAAGAGCTCTAGACCAACACTCAGACATTTCTTGCTGGAAGGGAAAAAGTCCTCTTGATTCTGGACAGAAAGGGGCAACAGGACAGCATCCCTTCTCTTAGCAAACACTTTTATGGCATCTCCTGGGACCAGTTGTTCTTGAGGCTCTGGGATATTGGTGGGAGGGGTGAGAAAGGAAAGAGTGATTCCATCAGCAAGAGACAAAACAGGTCCAGGATCAAAGCGTCTCGGGGCTGAAGAGGACTCAAAGGCCACCTGTGCCAGTCACAGCCACTGAAGCGGCAACCCCCAGCGCCCACCTTCACTATTCCCAATCAAAACGGGCAAGACATGCCCTCCCCTCCCTCCATGTTCCCAGCTTAGGCAACAAAGGGCCTTTTGGTTTGCTCTGTTCTCTGCCTTGAGTTTTCCTGCTTTTGTCCCAGTAAGACCTTCTTTGGGGATCTTGCTTTTGAAAAACGCGGAGCCTTCTCTCTCCTCCAGGGAGAGACAGTCCCACCCCACACTCCCAACATACGGCATTTGGTGCTGGAGGTCTTGGAGAGGGAAGGGCCCCGAGGACATGCTTGGTTTGGAAACAGTGTTAAAGGGCCACATCGAGGATCTCGTGTGGAGACAGAGACTGGGAACACGGGAGTGCTTTGAGAGCAACACTGACATGTACGCAGACCAGTGAGGGGTCCAGAGACGTGTCTCAAGAGTTTCTAAAGCTACGGTTTCTGGCTAGGCTCGGTGGCTCAGCCTGGAATCCTGCGCCTTGGGAGGCTGAGGTGAGTGGATTGCCTGAGCCCGCGGGTTCGAGACCCACCCGGGCAACTTGGCGAGACTTCATCTCTACAATAAACCAAAAAAAATTAGCCGGTCGTGGTAGCGCGCCTGTAGTTCCAGCTACTCGGAAGGCGGAGGTGGAAGATTGCCGGAGCCCAGCAGGTCGAGGCTGCTGTGGCCGGGAGCAGCCACTGCACTCCAGTCTGGGTGACAGAGTGAGACTCTGACTCAAAAAAAAAAAAGCTACGGTTTCTTTTGTGGAGTGACAGTTCGGCTTAGCTCAGCCCAATGGGCTGAGCAAAGGCAAAGCTCAGTGGAAAGTGGCCACTAGAGTAGAGGGAAATTCTCCGAGACCCACAGACCTCTGTGTCTGAGGTACGGATGAGAGCTGCATAGGTGCCGAGGGCCCTCACGCCCCCCTCCTGCTGGGCTTTGCTGGCGATGCTGATCCAACCTGAAGAAAGACTGCCCCACACCCATGCCAAGGCAGATCAAGGCTCCATTCTGTTCACGGCCTGTTCTCGTGATGCAGTGGCACCTGAACCCATGGCGTTTCTCCTTCTTGTGCCCCACTTCCCCCTGCCACACGGGCTCAACACACGGTCCAAGAATTGCTGTCCGCAGGAACCATACATGGCAGGTCACCATCTAGCAGGCTCTCCTCCCCAGCCAGGGACTCATACCTTCCGGCACACTGCCTGGCACAGAGGGCACGTAAATGGTCAAATGAACAAACACACATATGAATGAAAGAACAACTGGAGAAGCTGGAACAGACACCGGCCTTCTCCCATTTGAGGTAGCTCCAAAGAGGAAACTCAGATTTCCAAAGCAGATATCCAGGTAGTGTTCCTTGCCTCGTTTTGTAAAGATTGTTTTTCAAAGGGAACTGTAACACACAAAGTAGTGATTCGAAGGGAATCACCACCATGGTGAGCTCCCGGGTGACCTGCGGTGTTGGTTTAGGAGCCACTGGGCCTGTGGAGGCCCAGAAGAGGCTTACAGGGAGGAGGCAGGGTGAGGGATTTGGTTTGTACCTCCATTAGCTGCTTGAGGGTGTCGTTACAGGCCCCCAGCTTGGTCATGGCAAAAGCTGTGGAGATACTCAGAGGTGACAGGAAGATGTTGTCACTGGCATTCTTGGAGTCTGCCAGGTGCTGATAGAAGGTGGTGGCAAAGTGAGAATTGGCCTTGGACAGTTCCCAGACCCGCCGGTTGGTGGCCTCGGGGATCTTCTGCTCTGGGCCCTCGTCCTCGGTCGCCTTCTTGTCTGGGGAGCGGTAGATGCACACAGGATTCACAGGGACATCCCGGGGCTTGGCCATGCAGATGTCCTCCACAGCGCTCCCGCGACAGGTCACATGGCCCCAGAAGCCAATGAGCAGCAGGGAGAGAAGACACATCTTCCTGCAAGGAATGAAACTGGGTTACATGGAGAACCCTAGCCCCACTGCCCACCACAGACTTGCCCAGAGAAAGCACAGATGCAGCCCTGGAGACCAGGCTGGAGGGCTGGAGTCTCTGAACCAAGTCCAGCCTTGGATTTCCTGCAGGCAGATAGTCCCACTTACTTGGACATAGTCATGCTGGGATTACTTGAAGTACTGTGTGCATAGGACCCCGTGCTGGGAGAAATGAAGAAGGCAAGGCTTCCTGTCAGTGAGATGGAAAGTGGCTGGGAGCTTTGTCACCAATGGCGGGTGAGGGCAGCAGGGGAGCCACTCCCAGAAACTGGCTGGGATGGCTCATACTTGGTGGAATTTAACCTGGATCTTAGAGGATGGGAGCGACGTCATGGAAGCAACAGAGAGACTTGAGGGGTCAGAAGGCCGAAAGCAGCATCTTTGTGCTGAAGACGTGGCCTCTAGCTCCAGCCCAGGCCTTCCCTGAGCCACAGATGAATGTATGCTGGAGAGATCCCCCGGGAAGTCCTGCAGCCTCCTTAGTGAACTGTGACTGAGCTACTGACCATTCTCTCCACAGGCCTGCTTTACCCTTTGTGTCCTCCAAGTGGTGATGGGACTCTCCTACTCCCCCGACTCCTCTGCCACCTTCCTCATTAGTGAACCCCAGATTAGATTGGTTCAGCTTCACTGTGATTTTTTTTTGAATCGGAGTCTCACTCTGTCACCCAGGCTGGAGTGCAGTGGCATGCTCATGGCCACCACAGCCTTGACCTGCTGGGCTCAGGTGATCCTTCTGCCTCAGCCTTCCAAGTAGCTGGACCCACAGGCGTGTACCACCACACCCGGCTATTTTTTGGGAGGAATTTATTGTAGAGATGAGGTCTTGCCAAGTTGCCCAGGCTGGTCTCGAATCCCTGGGCTCAGGCAATCCTCTCGCCTCTGCCTCCCAAAGTGCTAGGACTACAGGCATAAGCCCCTGTGTCCAGCACTTCGTTGCTCTCTTACAAGTTCTTGCCACTGTCTTAATCTGGGCCCTCATTGTTTTTTATTGCCTGGAATTTTTTTTTTTTAAGTTGGGGGTCTCATTCTGTTGCTCAGGCTGGAAGTGTAGTGGCATGATCATGGCTCATAGCAGCCTCGACCTCCCAGGCTCAGGCAATCCTCCTGCCTCAGATTCTTGAATAGTTGGGACTACAGGCACATGTCACCATGCCTAGCTTATTTTATTGCCTTAAATTGTTAATAGTTTCCAACATGGGTTCACTAAAGACAAAGGAAGCTAATTTCTCATTTAAATTAAATGCAATAGTGAGATTGGCAAAGTAGGAGAATTGAGACACCCAGTAAACCAATCCAAGAGACAATGTCTCTTGTAATACTTTTTGTAGATGAGACAGGGTGGGCCAGGGGCTTCCTCAGCTGGTTTGGGGTCCCTGGGTGTAGGGGAGGGAGTCTGTCTGTGGGTGCTAAGTTGGCTGAGTCTTCTGGTGGGAAAAGACGGCTCCCGCCGCAAAGATGCACTGAGGTGGTTGGACAGGCCGTGAGGTGCTGCTGGAAGCTGGGGCTGCACTGGGGACTGGTCTTCCTGCAAGGTCTCAGGCCAGCTGCAGCCCTTTCAAGGACAGATTGGGACAGAGGAAACACCAAGGGAGAGACAAACAGAGGCAGGTGAGAATGCAGAGAGAGGAGAGAGAGCCTGAGAAAGGAGGTTAGAGAGGGAGGGAGGAGAGAAAGGAAGAAGAGGGAGAGGAGAAAGGGGTAAAGAGGAAGGAGAGAGAGGAGAGAGAGAAGAGAAGAAGAAGAAAGAAAGGGAGGAGAGAGGGA